CTTGTCAACAAACGTAATTTTTTGGGTGGCTTTAAACCTGTCGTTTTTATTCAAGCTCTCGACGAAAATGTTGCCACAACTGAAGCAGCCACTACAAATGTATTAGATATCGAAGCAGCCAATGCAGCCCAAACGGCTGCAACTTTCGATCATGAAAATGCGTCTACATTACTTCTTAAACGTAATTTTTTGAATGGATTTAAGCCTGTCATTTTTGCCAATACTCTCGATGAAAATATCGCTACCACTGAAGCAGCTACTACGAATTTATTAGAGATAGAAGCTGCCAATACAGCAGAAACTGCGGCAACTTTCGATCATGAAAATGCGGCGACAGTTTTTGCTCAACTATAATTTCCTCCCGCGATTTCCCAAAAACATGAAATGTTAATTTTTAAATGTAAACAAAACAAAATATAATAAAATACAAGATACTAGAGGAATAAAATTTATGATTGTTTTATTATGCTAGAATGAGCCTATTTTTGACTGTTCCTAATATTATTCTAATAGATCTATCCATAAATCTTGCAAAATTCTTTTCTTTTGGAATATTGTGTTAGTGATCTCTATAAAAGATAATAGGTCATCGGCAAATGGTCCCTACAATAAATGCTTCATAAAAATTAACTGCATAATGAATTATATCATCCTATTTATAACGAACAATTTTTTTTATTATATTAAACGAAACAAGTTGAGGCAATTATACTTTAATTTTATGAGCTAATATACATAAAAATAAACATAAATCTCTAATAAAGTTTGTGTTCAATCCAAGTTTTGTAGCGATAGGAAACCTCGATTTTAATAAACCCGAAAATTTTTTCTCCCCAATGGGTTTTGATTATTTAAATTATTTTAACGCATGATAAATGTTGTGACATTTTTAATAAAGAAAATTGATAAATCTAGAATAAATAAAAGAATGTAAGTAAATCTAGCCCACTTCAAGGATCCATGCAAAATTATCGCGTGTGAAAGCTTTGGATAATCAAAAAATTTAATGAATAAAAATTTTGCATTATTTTCGTTATCATTCGATGGCAGCGAAATAATTCTTCCGTTGAAAAATGGTGATATGTTAAGGAATTTCTGGAGAAGAACGATTAATCAACATAAATTCTTGTGTGATAGAAAGGCTTAGAAACTGAAGGATTATATAGGATATATGAGATATATGAAATTATAATATTTAATGTCACAGCTGATGTTGGAGCCTCTTTTGAGTTAATATCAATTCAAAGAATCATTCATTTCTTTTGCTTTACTTACGCGAAAAGAAGTTGCCAAACTTGAAAAGATCTGTTACGCAATTCATGTACATATATTTTCCGAATCGCACTATAACAGTGATTCGTTCATTGATAATCAAGTTATGGATATACTCTTAGAACAGAGAATCTTAAAAAGATGAATCAATACCTCCCGAAAGAATCTAAAAACAGAAAGTGACACAATTATTCCTACATCTTTCTTTTAATCATTTATCTTAATCTTTACGTTACTTCGACTAATGAAACACTGTTCGAATATGGAAATTTGATCGTGTGTGCGAACGTTTCAATTTATTAACATCGGGGTTCGCCAACAACGTGGATTTTCAACTCGTATTTCTTTTAGATCACGATGAAATCAAAAATGGCCGAATGCAAAATGAACCAATTATAAAGTTTTTGAGAAAAATATTCTTGAAACCTTCCAATTTACATTTCCAAATGCTATGGGTAAATTTTATGAAATATTATCGTTATTTTGTTATATTTTATTATTTATTCAGATAACTTACAAATCATTGTGTGAGCATAGCTCTTAATGCAAGCCAAAAATATAAAATCATGATATGACTATGAACAGATATTATTTTTGCAAATTGTGTATGTCAAACTTGCATTTATTAAAACGAAATCATGGTATTAATTCGTATTATAAACTCGATTAGTCATATTGTTACGCTTAATTCTAAAATTTTTACAATTCACGTTTTTAATACAAAATGAAAATGTACTTGTCTGGATCATGCAAGTTAAAACTATATTCCAGACTCAAGAAATTATGATGAGAAAACTCAAATACAGTATGCCACCACTTTCATAGCTTTACATTAGTACCTCAACAAAGTAAAGATAGATGATAGTGTTAAACCTTTTGAAAATTGGCAAGCTTTTGTTACTGTATTAAGAGAAACTTTTTAATTACCATATTATCAATAATATCTCTGTAGACAATTTCACCTTCTTCGCCAAACAGGATCTGTCCAAGACTATGGTATAAAGTTCAGGAATATAATTGGACAAATCACAGATATGAGTGCTTTAGACCAGATCACATATTTCATAGAAGGTCTTAAACCAGCTACAAAGATAGAGATAAGTTATTAGGCACCAGAAATATTAGAAGAAGCTTGAAAATTAGCCATTCACTATGATATACCTTATAGGAGGTAGTGAATGCCCCATCATCGCATTCACCTGTGATTGCATCTATTTTTTATCTTTCGCCGGCCTTTTAGGCACCTCTTTATAGAAGATGGTGATTGTCCCACTCATCGCATTCACCCGTGATTGTATCCATATTTTTATGGTAAATTAGCACATGTTAGAAAGTTTATTAACGCGTTTTCTGTTTATGTGAATGATATATGCACTTGAAAATGAAGTTCGGAAGAATATCTTTTTTTCCTAGGATCTGTTACTTTTTTTGCTTTGTATATTAAATGGCAGATGACAAACTTGTTAGTGCCAATAACTCACTATACTCTTGCAATAACCAAAATAACTATTTTTTTGCTTTGTGTATGTCTGTGTTTGCTTGTATACTAAACGTTACTTTGATTCTCCTAGTTAAACGTTCGCTTCGTGAAAATGACGAGCAAATAAGGAAAGATCTGTCTATTTCAATATTAAAAAGTTATCTTTCTCTGAAAGACAACAAAAAAAGAAGAAAAAAGAATGTTCCCGACAAGAATTCCTCAACATTACTATGAGTACATGTATATATGTCATGAGATTTTCCTAAAATCAAGTGACATCACCGATATCGATATATCGATCTAAACAATACGGCTCAATAAATGTAAACAACGAAAAAAACTGAAAAATAGTTTGTATCTCGAAATTTCATCTATGAAACTACTTTCTGTACTCTAACAAAAAATATTCCTTGCGAAAATTTATTATACGTACTTGCATGCGCAATAAAGATTATAATCATAACTCTGCCTCTAAACCTAACCTTGCCTCTAAACCTCACCTTAATGAAGATGCTATTAATATTTCCTATCCACCTTAAAAATCACATGACCCGTAACTTTTTTTTCGCCAAAAATTCTTGGCCGCAGCCAAGTGCCAACCCTGCATTAAATATAGTAAATATCTAAAAATAGAAACTTTTTAGGGGATCCAATCAAAAATCATTCGTTAAAATCTTAGATACTATACTTTTATTCTAATATTATGTTGGCATATTTGATAATTATATGTGATTTTAATGAGTTTTTATAGTGATAACTAATAAATAATATACAATTTATTATTTTTTAATATATTTTACTCAAAAAGTCATATCATTTATGTATAATTGCATGTGACAGAATCAATTTTGCCAAGAGTTAATTTTTCGTCATATGATAAAATTTTCCGAATTTGATCGTCAAAAATCTATTTTCTCGAGCGGATCAGCAAGATCAAAAATGGAAAAGCTGGTCGATCTAAAGAAAAAATCTCGGAATTTTATAATCGTAGCAATAATAAAGCAAGCTTGTGTTCATTGTCTTAGATATTGGGGGGGGGGAATGGACGTTCTGGAGAATGGAAGCATATCTTGCTAATGTCTGTCCTTCGGTTCCTGAAATATGAATATTAAAACGACATAATAAATCAGATTAATCCATGCCTATATACGAGTAAAACAAGATTGACAATGCAGTTTAAATGCTTGAATTTCAGCAGGCATTCCATTCAGTAATTTAATCGACATATAATTCACCTGGCCGAACAAACACCTTTAAGCAAATTATTAGAGCAAGAAACAGCATGAATTAATATAAATCAATGCAGAATTAGAAAAATGCAATTTTTAACAAATGGAAATTCAACTTTATAAATGAACAGCAAATAGGGTCGTTAAATGACAGATGTTGTATGCTCAATTGATCAGGTTGATGTATTATTATAGATTATATATAAATGATGATAAAGTTATTTATAATTTCTGATAATAATTATAATATTTAAATTCAAAAAAAAGCAGAGTATCCTTACTGGTTGTCGGTGACTTATTTTTTATAAAATGAGGTTCATTTGGTAAGCAAAATTCTATAAAATCAGAAGGAAAATGATTATCCTTAATTCAATGACTTGTGAGATTCTACCATAAATAGCATGTGTTTAATTGAAAAATCGCCTTATTCGGTCCAAGCTTATAAGACTCTCATAAATTTACCTCTATAAATGGCCACCCTCTCTAAATGTGCATTTTTTTATATTAGTCCTATAGTTCCAGTTAGGGGGGCTGACTTAGAGAATCGTTGTTTATTGATGCATACAAAATACTTACAAAAATTGGCTAATTTACGTATTCCAAACAGACGCAATTATGCAAAAATTCCAATATTTGACATATCGAATTCTTTGCCTAATCATATTTTGAATAGGAAGATAAATATTATGTGCATAACAAATCACCAATTATGAATCCTGTAAGTTCACATTATCTCGCTCTACAATCACACCTTTCCCAGCCCTAATTATTATGAAGCATAACCTCTATAAAATCGCAAACTTTCTAAAGTCGCACATCTTTATGTTCTTTGGATTTAAGTTTTTAGTATCAAACTTTTCAAGTCTTCATAAAGTCACAATGTTTTTTGGTATCCATCTTATCAGCTTCATTCTTCTCAATACGATACGTACAGTTACATAAATTTGACATTATCACCGGGATAAGTTTAATATTAAAGTAATGACGATTGTACTTAATTCAAATTTTGACAAAATAGAAATCTATTCAATGAACACTTTTGATATTAAAATTGCGAATAGTTAGAGCATTAACAACAAGACCATATTGACTTTCTAGTGAGAAATAACAAACTATTATATTTTCAAGAAAATATAAAATGAAAGTAAGAAAAGAATATTATGCTAAGATAGCAGCAGTAATCCAGATGAAAGCGGTAAGAATAAAGAAGCTAATATTGCGACAGCTATAATTGTTCTTCTGCTTCTGATTGTCGTTTTTTGAACATGAAACATTTCATATTCATTTCATGATATATAAAACCAGGTAGCTGTAGCTGATCACCTTTTTTGTTTTCTAATTAGCGTTAGATAACCTGGTATGATTTTCACGTT